ACACTCCGGAAACAGTGAACAGCTCGTGATGCCCATCCAATTGCTCATGCAGTCTGCTGATCTGAGATGCTGGCTGGAACTGAAATCGTGTCGCTGTCAAGCAGCCAGGGCTTCATGGCCTTCAAGCATCTTTGTGGCCAATCGACCCCCCTCCCCCCGGTGCACAGTTGATCCGACAACGCTCGAAATGCACCGAACATCACTGAACCAGAAACAGCTGCTACATGATGAAGCTTTGGGCGGAAAGATATATGTCGACGGGCTGTTTGAAGGATTTAGCCGCAGTACTGTGGGGCTGCTGAAATCATGAATCGCATGAGCTACAGTCAAGATTTCCTGTATAATCTAATGGGCATGGGTTCCTTGTTTAGGATTATATAAGGAACTATGGGGACCCCTGCATAAGCATAACAATCCAGTGGCTCACATGAATTGGGGTCTTTCGTACATGATTGTCTACACCTCTCGCAAAAATCGATGCTGTGGGTCTGGCGCCATTGTAGTGTAGCAGCTTCCCTGAGCTGCTGCAAAGCACCACCTCGGGAAGGATGATGATCCGTGCTATCCATGATTCTCTTGCGCAGCCAGTCCCGCATCGTGTATATGATCCTAACAACTTCCAGACCAGAACAAGCTTACCACACAACATCTGTCAGTGATGTCAGCAGCTTGGTCAACGCTCTGCTATTGCCTGCTTCTATCGATGTTTTCGCAGGCACATGGTGGGGATGGACGAGTTATGTTGCAGGCCGCACAGCACGTCGATTTTGGACTTCCACATCGCCCAGACATCCCAAAGCTGTCATGAAGATCGCGGTGCAATCCCCGCGCAAAAGAAGTCTTTCAAGAGAAAATGCGGATATTGCAGTGTTCTAGAAACATACTCTATGGATCTCTATGGAATGAGGGGTTTGATCCGTATCTTGGATCGCAATTCATCATGACATAACATGCTGGTTCTGGGCGTACGGAACGAGGGGGGATGGGATGAGACACTTCTTGTTGATACAAACCCTATGGATCGGGGTATGAGCGGGATGTCCTCGTGCACCTCGATCCATACCAAATGCATTAAGGAAACATGAACTTGAACAAAGCAGCCACGGACAGCTTAGAAAGCGATAGTAGCAGAAACAACAACAATAGCGTTGCTACTAGGGCAAACATCGTAGAAACAATGGCAAGCGAACAGTCGTACTGAGCATACGAGTAGCAGCAGTACTTACAGCACATATGCTCCTGGTAATACTGTAGCAAACGTGACAGCAGTGGCCGGAATACCAGCAGCCATCAGGTATTCTGCCAACGGTGCTAATGGCAAAGCACTAGTAATTTGTATGTAGCAATGTAATGGTACAAGAAAAGCAGCAGCTGTAACACCAGGAAATTGGAACCAGTTGCAAGAAAAATGCTAATTCAGCGGAAAGTAACAATCATAAAAGAGAGCAGTCCTCTGAAGAGCAACAATGATCAACATCTAAACAGCAATCCTGGCAACAAAAACGACACATAACGTCAGTAACAGTAGCAGACACTGGAGAATTACCTGCAACACCAGGAAAGAGAAGAATAGCAGCAGCGATAAGCGAAAAAATGAAGACCGACAATGATGACCGTCAGAATATTTGTCATGACACTTAGCACGAGCAACAAGAAAATGAGAAGAACCACGGGACTGCCGGTAGCAAAATAGTAGCTTTTTGAGTGACAAGAAGATGAACAACACTGACCGACCATGCCAGTAAAAAATATCAAAAAAGCAATGCTGGAAGTGCCAGTTGTACAAAAGCAGACGGCAAAGCAAAAGCTGAGGCAATTACACATGCCGGAGGAGCACCAACCACCGACTGACCACAAAGATGCAGGCGACAATGAGAGACAGGAAATGATCCGTGCAAGATGCAAGCAGAAGAAACCAATGCAAAACACAAGCTGCAGGGAAGGACTGTTGGCAAGCCACTTGTGCAACTATGTAGTTTCAAAGCTCAGCATCGCCAGGATGCAAGGATAACAAGTCATGCGGGACGAGTACCAAATTGGTGGCGGACCTGTCATCCCTTTTTTTTGCACTCGATGGCAGGGGACCAAAGAGATTCTCTTTGCAAAATTATGTTTTCTGGGGCGCGTCCCCCATCGCACGCAATGACTTTGAAGGGCGGGGCGCGTTGTCTTAGGCACTTGTGTTGCGTCCTTTCTGGCGGCATGAAGACACTAAGGCCGAGACGTATGGATTCAACCCAAGGCCGGAGGGCTCCACCTCGTCGCACGATGACTTTCACATGACGTCTCTGGATGCAATGCTTTCTGACACACAGAAAGCTTTGCTCGTTGTTATTGCTGCTTTTGGATCCCGGCGCGAAGTTCCTGTAGATGCTCATCTTCGAACCTTAACGCCAGCATGTGGCATCTACTGGAGCGCCAGGAAGCTGATTGTTTGTGCCAGCCGTGGAAGCTTGTCCCGAACACCTTTTCACACGCTACTTGTGCTGTTGGGGTCAGCATTAGCTGTCTCGGGCTTCTATTCTCTCAGGTACGCAAAAAGTGGCCCCAAACTCGGAAACGTCACCTTAGTTGAGCCGCAGCTCAATGCTCTGAGTAATAGTCCTTTGCGCTTACAAACACCCTTATCAGTCCGCGCGGTACATGGACTTAGGCACAAATTGCCTGGGGATCTTGCGCTTGAGAACTTGATGAGCATATTGGGTTCTCGCACACCCGCGCCCTGGTTGTATCTCCCACTTCTCCAAACCTGACTCTACCAACATGTACACTCCCCCCAGCTGAATTTCCCCAAGTCCCCGCTATGCGCTATCACCACAGTGCGCGTATATGACATAAGCATATGTATATATGTGTGTGTACACACGCAAAGGCCTGGTAACGCCAGCCCGGAGCCCAAAGAAACATATAATGCAACCCTTGCAGGGCTGAAATACAGACTGGCCCAATCCTCCCAGGGCGGATGGGCTTTTGTTCGTAGCACATGTCTGCAGTGCCCTTTTGCCAAGAGTTGTGACAGCGGCAACATCACTTTGAGACAAGCCGGCGACAAGCGAGCATGGACAAACATGTGCAAGCTGAAATTATTCATAGCTTTCCATGCCCACGTGGTTTGAAGGTTACTTTGATAACAACCCAAAAATGCCTGTGTCTGACGATGAAACAGAGGGGCCTTTGTCGAACATAAATGGACAAGGCATTTACTCTGTCCAGAACGCTCCTCTGAAAAATGAAGAAAATCTGATTTGCGTAAGTGTGAAAAATGCTTATTTTTGTGCTGTCTGTTTGTTTTCGTTGTTTGGGCGTTTCGTGTGTTTTTTTGTTGTTCGGGCGGGGGCGTGTTTATTTTTGCTGTTTTGGGCGGAGGCGTGTTGTTTTTTTGTTGGGGCGTGGGCGGGGCCACCGCCCAAACGCAAAAAATGAAACACACCCTCGCCCAAACAGAAAAAGATAAAACAAAGCCCCGCCCAAACAGCAAAAAATAAACACGCCCACCCGCCCAAACAGCAAAAAAACAAAACGCTTGGAAGGGGCGCCGGCGTGTTTATTGCTTTGCTGTTTGGGCGGGGTCGTGTTTTTTTTTTTT